TTAAAGCTATCTGTAGCTGATTTTTGTTGAATTCTCAGTTATATCTTCCTTCTGATAAAGTACCTTGGACTTAATGTTCTAGTCTAGTGGCTTTCAAACTTTGGTCCTCCTGGTTTTTTGGGCTTCAGCTCCCAGAGATCCCAGCTGCTAGTAATTGTGGGAGCTGAAATCCAAAGCATCTGGAAGACCAGAGGCCAAGAACCACTGTTCTAGTTTGTTCCTAATTGTAATTCTATCTCGTTTCCCAAACCTTGTAGCATTGGATGCTGAAGCCTTGCCCTCCTGCTTTATTTTTCTGGGCATGCAAATACGCAGATGCCTTCCGCTTCAGAGCTGGCATATACTCCTGTCAATCAAGCAGGGCCATATTATGTGTCTTGATCACTCCCAACTTAATTATTTTCAAAGCAAAAGAAGAATGGAAATGATATTTTGGTTTCACTTCATTTTCTTTTTCCTACTTTTCCAAGGTATGTTTTAAATTCAATTTAAATAACATTTCTATTACATTTCGTCCTTAATCTGAATGAAGTATAATTATATGGGGTTTGTTTTTTCCTTTTCTAGATGTTCAATCAGAAATAAAGTTGGAAGAGTCCGGAGGGGGTGTAAGAAGGCCGGGAGAAACCCTTTTCCTCTCTTGCAAAGCCTCTGGCTTCACATTCAGCAGTCACTATATGGAGTGGGTGAGGCAACCTCTTGGAAAGGGCCTGGAATGGTTTGCGCGGATAGGTACATCCTCGAATTACCCTGCTTACTCAAATGCAGTGAGAGGACGCTTCGTCATCTCCAGGGATGATTCCAATAGTCTGCTATATTTGCAAATGAACAACCTGAAAACAGAAGACACTGCAGTATACTATTGTGCAAGAGACACAGTGAAGGGAAGTGAATATGAAGCCAACCCAAAAGTCTCACATGATTATGAAATCTTTCCCCTCGCATCCATCTATCCTCTGACAATGGGGAACTGTGGAACATGACAAGACATTTCTATGCACCAGCAGCTTAACCTAAGAGTGCTAACTCTCTATTTTGTCAAGACATCTGTCAAGGTCAGAATTATGGAACATCGCTCACGCATAAAAAAACAAACATAATGACAGTACTATTTATTCTCATTTTTTGGAGAAAGGACATACATCTACCAGCTTCAAGTTTTGCATCATAGAAAAAATCCACACTAAGCCATATATGGATACTAAGAATTACCTTTTGCAAAGGGAAGCATTTTGGATTTTTAAGTTTAACACAGTGGTTCCTACTGGCCTTAATGATAGACTGGACCTCAGCTGCTTTTTATAATAAGCCCTATTATCTACCTTATCTACTTGTAATTTACATTCCAGCTGACTGTCTGTAACTAGCCTTGCCTTTTGTGCTGGTACGACTGTACCAAGAGCTCCAGCTTTATTTTCCTTCTGTTATCTGTTTTGCAATCATAGGGCAGGGCTCGTGTCCATCATTGTTAAGTTTTGGTTCCACCCCTTGCTCAGAGCAATTGGGAAGGGAAGGGAGCCATTTTTTAGTTAGTCTCAGCAAGGAAAGCTAATGTACAGGACGTGTGCAAGCTTCCCCTGTACAAAAGTTTCAACCCTTAAGACTTTCTGGGGGGAAAACAGTCTTAAGAGTCTCCAAAGATTTCCAGGAAAACAGCCCTAAAGACCAAAGAACTCCAGCTGGAGAATATCTAAGCCTTTACTGGTAGGTCCACTCAGTGCTTCGAGATGTAGTTCGACCCGGTAGTGGAGCCCACATCAGTAAGGGTTAGATTACAGTCAGCCTAGGAGAAGTTAAAAGGGGGATTTTCCATTTAAAGTAGAGAAGAAGTTATTGAAGACAGTTGCCTGTCCTTCGTGGGCAAGATTAGGAAGTCACCAGTTGCATAAAGCTTGAAAGCATTTGTTTAGCTTTATTGAAGACAACAGAACTTTCTGTTTGGTTGTTCATTAATAAAAGACTTTGTTATACTTCACAAGCCATCTAAAGGTCAGTTGTGGTGGAAAACCTCTGAGAACTTCTCCTTGGGCCCCCTGGCTTCCTGCTGGGCAACGGTTGCACGTCCTGTTCTAAAGGGAATTCTTTACAGGCCCAGCGCACAACAGAACACCTTTAAATCCTTGCTTCTGTGTAATTGCATTGCTCACTATCGAAGACCAAACTGTAGGGCCAGCGTCGTCTCATTAATAAAATGAGTAACAAAGTGTGTGTAGTCTTTCTCACTGGAATGCATGTCATTATCACTGACTGTTTTGGTTTGGGTGCCTTTTTTGGGGTATCTATTATGTTGTTTGTTATCACCCATTTAGGGATGTATGGTGAACCACCCACTTTTATAAAGAAGACGAAATCCTGAAGAAGGGGAAGTCCCCCGAAACAAGGCAACCTCAACCCGGGGATCCTTGTCGCATTATAATTTGGATAATATTTTGACCTGGACAGCAGTCTTAACTATTTGGACTTTATTTGGACTGCATTTTGATGACAGTTTACTTTCTCAAGGACTACGAGATAACCAAGTGGCACTCAGACTTGTAATTTCTTTGTGTGGTTTATATGCAGTGTATTTACACGATTTATGTTAACATAGTTCTGTTTGGATAACAGTTTGCAACTTGTATTTTGTCACGACATTTCTATGCACCAGCAGTTTAGCCTAAGAGTGCTAACTCTCCTGCACAAGAAAAATCTTGAAAATAAGTCAACATTCTGGAAGTCATTCTAGTGTATTTCTAGAATACTAATTTAAGGTTAGGTTACTGGGAGAAGACAGAGAATCTCTCTGCCCCTCCTACTGAGTCTCCAGCTTCAGTTTTAGGAACTTCTGCATATGTTAAGTGAATGCCCAAGAAAAGAGCTTGGTCTAGCCCCCAGTAGTACACTAGGTTAAACCACTGAGCTATTGAACTTGATCGAAAGGTTGCAGGTTCAAATTGGGGGAGCGGCATGAGCTACCGCTGTTAGCTCCAGCTTCTGCCAATCTAGCAGTTCGAAAAAATGAAAACGTGAGTAGATCAATAGGTACCACTCCAGTGGGAAGTTAACGGTGCTCCATGCATTCATGCCGACCACATGACTTTGGGGGTGTCTATGGACAATGTCGGCTCTTCGGCTTAGAAATGGAGATGAGCACCAACCCTCAGAGTCAGACATGACTGGACTTAATGTCAGGGGAAAACCTTTACCTTGACTTTATGTATGTGTTAGTGTAGATAAGCAGACAGATCCTCTCCGCTCTCCCTTCTTACTCAAATGGCATGAAATAGCACAATAGCATCTCTAGGAGGGACGTGCATTAGATTCTGGGGAATCTCAAAGTTCAGTTCCACTTGTCCTCCTTTGGGCTAGCTGTAAAATTAGCAAAAAGGAACCTGGATGCTGGAATCCACTCAAAATGTCTTTCAGAGTTCGTGCCTTGGACAAGTCCTTTTTACTGTAAATCAGGCATCAAAACTGCAGCCCTCCAGCTGTTTTGGCCTCCAACTCCCAGAATTCCTGACAATTCAGCAAGTTGGCTCAAGCTTCTGGGAATTGGAGGCTCAAACAGCTGGAGGGCTGCAGTTTGAGGGTGCCTTCTGTAAATCAAGGCTGACTGAAATGTCTTCCTATGTAAATGGCCACAAGTCTATTTGAGAGGTCCTCATGTCTCCCTCATTCACTCCTGTTAACTTAGTGATTTTAAAGTTTATTTTTCTGTCCCAGAATCAGTGTGAGGTGTGGAAAGTGAGGATCAAAATTACTCTAGGCCATCACACTTGTGGGACATTTTGTTGGACAGTTCTCACCCCATATAGGTTAAAACTCATGGTGCTTCATCATTTCCAGGGATTATTCAAAAAGTCTACTATATTTGCAAATGACCTACTTAAGAACAGAGGACTCTGTTCTTTGGATTACTATGGATGAGACACAGTGAAAGAAAGTGAATATGAAACTAAGCATGCAAGGCTTCTGTTGAGCCTCCAGTGTCATTTTAGGAATTCCTTTATATCAGGGGTCCTCAAACTAAGGCCCGGGGGCCGGATACGGCCCTCCAAGGTCATTTACGCAGCCCTCGCTCAGGGTCAACCTAAGTCTGAAATGACTCAAAAGCACACAACAACAACAACAATCCTATCCCATCAGCCAAAAGCAGGCCCACACTTCCCATTGAAATACTAATAAGTTTATATCTGTTAACATTGTTCTTAATTTTAATTATTGTTTTGTGTATAAGATAGGTGCAGTGTGCATAGGAATTCATTCATTTTTTTAATTTCAAATTATAAT